CAACTTGACACAGACTAGAAAAAACATAAATGAACACAAGACATCTATGTATCATATCATATCAACATGATGTTCTCATTCGATTCGTCGACATAAATTACTAAGGGAACCCTGGAACATGTCAGAGCATAGGAAGTCCGGAACATGTTCAATGATCAATGTCTGACCTGACGTTTGACTCAACCAGGAGAAGTGGACCAAACTAGGGGAAGAAACCCGAATCAATAGTCGCCCATCATGGTGGACTTCCCGAGACGAAGTAGGGCGGGAAGCTTCTGGATTGGTTCTATTTATCCACTTTACGGCTGTTGACTTTTAGGGGCCTTAAAGGGTTAAGATCAGCCATGGAAGCCCGTACTTACAGAGTCTACGGTATGCCATCATCAAGGAAAATTGAGAGTGGTAATATTTTGCGCCGGAATATGCAGGATAAGCTAAGCGACAATTACACAGATCTCCCAAGCCATTGAGCATTCTCATGCATGGGATAGCTTATTTCAACCAAGGGCTTCACTGGAAGGATTCTCTTTCTGTAATGATATCAAGAAACTCAATGGTTCCTTAGCATATCGTGGAGATACCTGCATTCACCCACCCTAATGACACCTACTAGGTTTGCTTTGAGCCACTGAGAATACAATAATTTACCTGGAAAATTAGGAGTTTCAACCCAGAACACCCGTCTGGAGCGATCATACTGAACACGGTTAGAAGCAGGAGGATAGCCTGGAAAATTCAAGGGTAGGGCTTCCGGGGATCACAAGATAATTCCGGTAGTACTGTAGTAGTAGTACATAGATAGGTAGGCTGCGGATATTAGTCAATTCTCAGCCGTTTCCGCCTCACAGGAAAACCACGCGACAGAATCGGACGCAATGCGGATGAGATCATGAGCCTAGAAAGGCGGAGTAACTTTGGGTCGAATTCGGATCCATCCGTTCTGTTTCTGGTGGGTGACTGGGTGCCTGGGTCCCCACCTAAATGCATATACCCAGTCCGTCGTGTCCGAAGAATCGGTTCCTGCTTTCTAGCTTTCTTCCAAGTGGAGAGCTCGAATTTTCTTTGCTTTTTCTGTTCTGGTTCTGTCTGGCTTCCCTGCTACAGGTCGTTTTGTCTCATCTTTTCGGGTTTTCATCAGGTCTGCAATAACGCCTCGCGGACGGGTACTTCAACTCTGAGTATCTAAGGTACTAAGCACTGGGATTGCTTGCTTGATGGCTGTGTACAGTATTCCGTGAGACAGCTAACACACGTCTTCTGAATCAGGAGGAACGGGTTCATCCTTGCTAGTGGTCTCTGCTTACCTCCGAGGTCCAACGGAATGATTTGGAAAACCTGTAGGCGGGAAGAAAGAAAAGTGACAGGTGATAAATGTACAGTTACTTACTGTCAGCATGTTGGATGGCTCCAACAAAGAGAAGAAGGTTGGGTTGGGTGGACGGGCCTTAATAAATAAGGAACAAAACACTATTAGCAATGTTTCGAGAACAGAAACTAATAAATTCGAATAAAATCAGCCAGGAAGAGGCAGCTTCACATGATATTGCCCTTATTCGAACTTTAATAGCCTTCAGATTCTCTGAGTCTCAGAGCCAGAGAACGTTGGGACGGAGCAAGTCAGTAAGTACCCAAGGTAGTCTAGTACTCCGTACTGTAACTGCAAGTAGGTAAAACCCCTAAGAAAGGGGGATGCGAATCCACTGCGTCGCGTACCTCTCCCCCGGGACAAGGTAACGGGGACAGCCGCTAAACACAGAAGCTCCCCCTAATGATCTGACTTTCTGGGCCAGTCTCTCCTGTATCAATATTGTTTTCTTTTTCTCGTCATATCATTTTATCATTTTATCATTTTATTTTATTTTATTTTTCCTCTTTGCTTTTAAGTATTGTTAATTCTCCTTTGCTATTTTTATTATTTTCTGTACGTCTTTTTTTATTTTTATTTCTTTTTCCCTCTAAAAACGAATTTTAATTTGAGATCCTGTTGTAGCCTTCCCAGATCTGGAGCGAAAATTAATTGAAAACATAAGATAAAATAAAATAATATTGGCCCTTGAGGTATCAACTAGGAGTGAATATTATCCATAGTCCATACCTAATTTACAACACCTATATATCTCTACGATGGGCCCCCTTCATCAATCTTGCTAGTGAATTCTTCATTCATTCCTCAACCACTGTCGCCCTGTCCTCTTCCTCCTTCTCCTCCCCTTCTGTCACCTTCTTCTCATACGTTCCGTGCTCCCTCTCATTCCCTTCGGTGCTTCCCACCACTCGCAATCCTATCATCATCCCCTTTCGGTGACGTTACCAAAGCGCCTCCCTCCCTCCCTTGCGATACGTCCAATCGTGTTTTCTTTTTCCAGCGGATCAGACGGAGCTACTTCCGCGCCACTACTGTACTCCTTTATTCGAGAGATCGACCTCCCTGCCGTCCGTTGCATTAGTCGATCCCATTTCGTCGGGGAGATTGCGCTTGAATCGAGACTTGCATTTCACAACCTTTGCAACGATTTAGTATTCTGGAAGGGGGAAAGCAAATAAAAAGAAGGAAAACAAGCAAAGGTCCATTTGACTTTGGATAAAGAACACTGCAGAAGCCTCAGCAAAAGGGAAAGGAAAAGATAAACACTGGACCTGTCCATTTGATTTCGGGCTCCACCTGGCCTCATTCCTACAGTCCATTTCCTCGGATCATTCAGCGTCACATTCCTGCCCTACAGATCGTCTTTTCGCCGCTGCTGGTGCTTGCTGCATCAACAAGTTAGAATACGCTCTTTCCCAGCTTCAGTGCTGTGGATATCCTTCATAAGAGGTTGCGCTTCCAATCTCATCTATCGCCTGCATCATCACCGCCTCTTCTCGTTCGAGAACCTTGGATACCTCGCGACATTTGCCATAGACACGCGATAATTTATTAATTATTTGCGGATATATTTTAATCCCGCAAAGGAATCTTTCATTTATTTAATTGCTCAGTGAGTCCCCTTCCTTCTCTGCATTCGTCCTCCGTCCGTCTCGATTTCCTCCGTCCGGGTGTCTCCAGCGGGAAATATCAATATCTAACAATGGCTCTCTGTGTAGAATCCAAGATGATAGTTCGGGATCTGTCAGCTTTCAACATGGGACGGGGCGCCTATGATACCACAGGAGTAAAGAAACCCGGTGCTCCTCCACCACCGCCGTCCACCCGATAAAACGCTTCTGAATAATCTCATACCACATGATACTGTGATTCCTTCTCTCTAAAAGGACAAAGTATTCTTCTGTGGTTCCATAATCGTCATCATCTCCTTCGCTGGCGCTGATAGCGATTGGATTTCATGTGTCTGCTACATTGTTGGCTCTTCTGTAAGCTTCCCTGATGGGCTCTCGTTCGATCACGTCGCTGACAAAAATCTAGTCCTGTAACACCATTGGCGCCTTCGATATCACTTTTTTTTTTTTTTTTTTTCTTTCTTTTGCTGGCTATCTCGCTTCAATAATACCCTTCGATTTGCTCGACTCCAGCGTTCGCGTTCTCTTCGACATTAGCAACCGCTGATCTGATCTTTCGATTCTTCGGCTTCCTATTCGGTCACCTACGCTTTTTAATCTCGCCGACATGAACCATCTTGGATGGACGATCTGTACCACCAAAAGTGCTTTTTTGTTTTATTTGAGGATTCCTTTGTTTCAGGCGTTCGGCATAGACGGGAAGGATATTACATGGGATACATGGGTTGATACCATAGAACTGACGGCCTCGCGGCCAATTCTTTTCCTTTTCTTTTCATGATTTTATTTCTTTTGTCTCGACATGGATATTAGCATTGTGGGGCTCTCTGAATCCATTTGCATATGTAATATATTGACAGCACGTTGAAAATAGATACAAGTGTGCCTTGTGCCTCTGAAGTCAGGATATTTCGCATGTACCTTTGTCGAAATTTGGTTGCTAATCTTGACGAGTCAGCGTACCTTGAAGGTGGATTCATTTGTTCCCGAGTAAGGATATTCACGGGAGCATGCAGACCAATTTGCCCGATCGATGGCCACCATGCATTATCTCAGCCTGCTAGTGCATCATAGGGCCCTGGTCGGAAGTCAAGGTGTTCGTCGTGCATGTGCTTCATCCCTTGGGCAGCTACATCATGGATGTATCTGGGCGAATCATGCGGTGCAACGTTGACTTTGGAGATGACTGAACGCCATGCCACAATCACTTACCTGACTAGCCATAGATCCTGTTTGTGGATAATGACATGTTCATTCTTTGGCCAGTCGGTACGGGAAGATTGATGTTTATACTAATCCGGTACATAGATGGACACCTGAATACCTTAACGTACCTTGGCTTGGGCAGGCTGGACCAGCCATGACAGGTAGCTTGCAGCCAATTATATTGGACTCCGCTGTCTCTCATTGTTCAGTGCATGTCTATTCTGACTGCATTTACCACCCTAGATGAGCTGTACATCTCTTAAGTCGTAGGGAACAGAGAGCCACACCAATCAGTCGCAATGACTCCCCTGAGAATTTGCCTACATTTCCACTACAATTGATCTAGTTATCTAGTTGATTTGTGAATCACCAACATGAGGCGGAAACATCCCGTGACTGCCGATGCCAGTAGAAACTGACGCTAAACCGGCTTTGGCAGCCGCATCTCCATAGGTCATCGCTGACGACTACGCCTCACTGGATACATGCCTGCCCACCTAGGTAGTAATCACCTATCAATCTAACTACTTGTTTGTGACAACTATCCAGGTGCAAAGTTGTCACCGCTATTTCTGCGACTTTTTCATCCTTATCAAACACCTGTCTCAGGATCGGATTACCTGCAATACAGCCTGCGTGTTTTAGGCAACCTTGACTTGGATTACTACCCTGGTCCTCCGCGCTGTCGACCATACCGCCTAACGCGAGCTGATATTCTTCGCTCAGCGTTTGATAGCTAGTGTCCGTGTGAAGTACCTGCAAGAAGACCTGATCACATAAAATTGGGCTCGCCAGCCATGTCTGACTCAACGAGCGCCAACGCCCCCAAGCCGAGTAGCAGCGTCAAGCTTGTGCTGCTGGGTGAAGCCGCAGTTGGAAAGGTACGGCGTCCCGGCATGGACTTTCCTCCCTCCCCATTTTTCCCGTTTATTTCCGTCGTACACGGGTAACCAAAAGTGTCTGACTTTTTACTGAATTGCCCGCCCGGTTTTATAGTCATCGCTCGTCTTGCGATTTGTCAACAACGATTTTCAGGAGAATAAAGAGCCTACCATTGGAGGTAAGGAAGCCGGCTGAATCATTGCGACGAAAACCTTGCCGAATGCTGATGAGCTACTTCTTTGGGATTAAGCCGCCTTCCTGACGCAGAAATGTTCGCTGCCTACCCGCACCATCAAGTTCGAAATCTGGGACACAGCCGGCCAGGAACGCTTTGCTTCTCTCGCCCCGATGTACTATCGTAACGCCCAGGCGGCGCTGGTGGTCTACGATGTCACAAAACCATCCTCCCTCACCAAGGCGAAACACTGGGTTGCCGAGCTTCAACGCCAAGCCAGCCCAGGGATCGTGATTGCCCTTGTTGGCAATAAGCTGGATCTGACGAGCGATGGCGGGGAGGCTGCTGAGCAACCACAAGCCAATGACGAGCACGAATCATCTGGCGCTGAAGGCGAGGACGCTACCGGCGACAACCAAGAGGAGCAGGAAGCGACCCCGGGAGATGCCCGGAAGGTCTCGACACGGGAGGCTAGCGCCTATGCGGAGGAAGAGAGCCTTTTGTTTTTCGAAACCAGTGCCAAGACCGGCACGAATGTCGCCGAGGTCTTTACTGCGATTGCAAATGCTATTCCTGAAAGCAGCTTGAAGAGTGGACGAGGTGCCGGTGCGGGAACCGGTCAAACTGCCCTGGGTGCTGGACGTCCCGCAGACGATACGAGAGTCAATCTTGGAGACCGAGCCGCTGCTACAGCCAAGGAAGGCTGCGCCTGTTAAATCGTCTTTTCTCTATCAGCATTTTCTTGTTACCCTGGATACGCATATCATGCTGTAAGCGCATAGCTTTCAGTCCAGGGATTAGTTCGATCACGAAGCAGGATCGGCCTAGTTTCAATGCATGCAACCTGTCCTAATAATTCAAGGCGTGTTTTCTTATTTCCCGCATTACTGTGTGACTGCTCGAAACTCTTCTCTTTTATTCTTGTTCATCTTCCGAAGGTCTTGCGACTGTGACTTCCTATTGATCCCCAGCCTGTTTGAGCCAGTGTGAACCTGATTCTGGAATCTTGTATTTTCTACTTGAATGTGGATATATGACAGTCCACTTGTTGAGCTGTAAAATTCAATTTCTTAAGGGAAACCTACTACGCCAACTCTATGTACAAGACTAACAAGAATACCTAGTCTGTCGATGACCTGTAGATACAACGTAGATGTTAGTGCCTTAGGCACAAAGGGCGAAGAAAGTCACGGGATGAGCGTTCCCCTAAGAGGGCAGAGGCTAACCCCATAACGGCAAAGCGCGATACCGCTAAGCGAGGCGCCGAGACTCCGATCCCACACCAGCACGACCGAGCGCAAATTGTAGGGTAGGAACTCCGTCCTGAACCTCGATTATTTTCCCCTTCGACGACCAACTCCCCTCGCGACAAGGAAAGCAGCACCAGCAGTACAGCCAGCTACCCGTCGCTCGTCTGCAATCATGGCTGCTATCAACAAGATCGCCCACAACTCGCCATCGAGGCAGAACCCCTCCGAGCTGGAGACTGCGATCGCCGGCGCTCTCTTCGACTTGGAGAGCAACACACAGGACCTGAAGGCCACCCTTCGGCCCCTGCAGTTTGTCTCTGCCCGTGAGGTAAGACTCGCCTGATTACTTTGTATTCCAGTCCGCATGAGTCCAGTGTCAATTACACCGCAATTGTTCTTTCGAAGCGAGGAATGGGAAAACAATGATGTTGAGCGGGCGTGAATCTATATGCTTGACAGATGGGATCGTGTGCGGAGATTGCTCTGTGTGCGCATGCTTGTCCCAATGACAGATTTTGCACGTTTCTCTGCAGTCTGCGTAATAGGAAAGACTATGTGGAAGGGTGATACGGGTGTGATGGGCACTGGACTCCACGGGTTTTTGTGCATACCTATTTACTCAGGTCATCTAACATGGTCCTATAGGTTGAGGTCGGCCACGGCAAGAAGGCCGTTATCATCTTCGTCCCCGTCCCTCTCCTCCAGGGCTTCCACAAGATCCAGCAGCGGTACGAGAATGCCAAGCATAAACCAGCATCACAGCAGATGAACTGCAGAAACTGACACGCACAAATTTGTATAGCCTGACCCGTGAGCTCGAGAAGAAGTTCTCCGACCGCCACGTCCTCTTCGTTGCTCAGCGCCGCATCCTGCCCCGCCCCAAGCGCTCTGTCAACTCCCGCACCAACCAGAAGCAGAAGCGTCCTCGCTCTCGCACCCTGACCGCTGTCCACGACGCCATCCTCACCGACCTCGTTTACCCCGTCGAGATCGTCGGCAAGCGTATCCGCACCAAGGAGGACGGCAGCAAGACTCTCAAGGTCATCCTGGACGAGAAGGAGCGTGGTGGTGTTGACCACAGACTCGATGCCTACGGCGAGGTTTACCGCCGACTAACCGGCCGCTCTGTTGTCTTCGAGTTCCCCCAGAGCGGTGCCGCCGAGTTCTAGATTTATTTATCCTTGTCAGAATCATGTGGTTTAGGTAAATAAAGCGAGTGCACACGGAGGGTCCTGGTGGGATTCGTGTCGGGAGGCGGGTTCTCGCGCGAGAGAGAAAGGAATGAGAAAGGTTGACTTTTTTTTCCCACGCACAAAATATGCATTCTCATCATGGCCCTTCTGCGATGGGTAGCTTCATCTGGTTCTCGGGTACAAGGATAAAGGTTCCTGAAATGAAAGGATGCGATGTGATAATAAAAAAATCATGATCTACTGGTTCCAGGCTTTTCTTTCCGGCGTGGTTAAAAAGACGTCTATTTTTTTTTCCTTCTTTCTTCTCCTAATCCACTCGGCGTCCTTTTATCGAAACACATGGCAAGAGCTTTGGTTTATGTCCAAACCTGGATCGCCATCTCCTTTCGTAACTGAGTATCATGCTACCGGCCAGCCACAAGCTGTCCAGCATTGCGCTTCGCCTTGCACAGTATGGGGATGGGAAGCAAAGTACTTTTACTCTGAACACCTGAGCAGCCGTAAACACTCCATATGTACTTAAATCAACGCAATGGGTATGTAAACTATCTACTGAGTATATAGATGTATCCACGTAACGAACAACCATGCCAACTATGCAAGTTCTGCCGTGATTCGGCCGACCCCCAGCACCATCCAATACGCCAATTCTCGCTTGACTGTATCGGAATTCTGCCCCTTCCCGGCAGCCTGCTCCATCTGATTCTCCGAGTCCCATTCCATACGCACAAAGACCGGGATCTCGAGGACGTCTTCGTCGGGCTGGAGCTGGTTCTTGGGATCCTTGGCCTGCCCGCTCCAGTCGAGGCTGGCGTCGTTGTTATTTTCGTCATCGTCGTCGATGTCCTCGCTGCTATCCCCATTCCCGTCGTCATCACCACCACCAAGAGATTGCCGTCTGCGGGTCCCTAGACTGCCGCCGGGTAATGTCCCAGGAACAACTTCCAGGACGACGGTCGTCCAGTTTCGGCCCTTGTCCCAGACTTTGCCTGCCTCTGCGACTTTCTCGTACCCGAGGTTCATCCCGCCGGAGCGAGAGGAGCGCTGGTCTCCTCCTGCTGTGCCCTGCAGGGCTTCATCCCAGACGTCGCTGTTGGCTCCGATGTCGAATTGCGGGCAGAGGATGGTGACTTTTGTGGCTACGCGTCCTGGTGTTACTGAGGGCGTGGCGAGCGTTACTCGGACAGGGTCGAACATGTGGTTTTTAAGGGTCAGAAGAAGCTGGAAGGGTTTCAGCGGGGGGAGAGCGTCCAGGTTAGGAGTTGAACTGGATGTTGAAGGTGTTATTGCGGGGAGACCCGTAGGCGGTCCTAGGGCTAGTGGTCGTAGAGTCGGTAAAGGGATGTAGCTGAGGGCAATGAGACGGATGCGAAACCGGGTGGACTGAGGCTTGAACTCGGGCTTGACGAGGATGTGCTTGCACGACTTGCAGCGTTTCGAGCGCTTGGTTCGGAGTAATACGGGTAAAGGGAGAAGGTCCTCCACGAACCGAGCGTCGGGGGACTGGAACATGCGCTGCTCGATCGACGCGAGGCCATCCCAGCCACATTCTTCCGAGGAAATCCGCTGGAGGATGGCGTCTTCTGCGCCGGGAGCCGGGACTTTCAGACCCTCGCTGGCGGTCAGAGCTTCTCTCATGACTGGAGGCTTTGATTTAGGTTTCTTGTTGGCACCACCGTAGAGATTGCTGAGCCGTGATGATGCCGCATAGAGGGACATTATACGGTTTAGAGCACCAGGTGAGGCGAAGCCGGGCCCAAAGTCGGTACCCAGCGGGTCTGTGGGCGATGTGGAAGTTGCTGCTATCTGGTCTTTGTAAAACGCCTTGAGCGCGGAGAACCTCCCATCCGAAGTCAAAGGAGCTGCAGACTGGTCGCCGGATGGCGTAGATTGACCATCTCTGCTTTCTCCTGGGGCTGGAAATTGATCGTCGATGGTGGAGTACGTGGACAGAGGAGATTTGAGCTCACCCACGGTTTTGGACATCTGTCTACCCCGAGCGGTTGTCGTATCAGTCATCTTGGAAAGCTGTGCGCAGATGTTGGTGGGCTTGTCAAATTTGATGCCAATGTCTAGAGACGACCACATGCAATATGCGCACGAAAGCACCCATGGTCCTTGTTGGCCTTCACTTCCCGCGACATTCTCGAGCGTGTTGACTGCAAGGGGTGCAGTGCATATGGGGCAATTGAAGCAGTTCCTGGCACATCTAACCGGAGCAAGCAGCTCTTCAGCGGGGAACTACTGGCGAAACAGGACCTAACGGCACCCACCTATTACCCTCACTTCGAACCATGCTGCTCGGTGTCTCGAATAGACAATTCGGACAATACCAGCACACAATCTCCTCTGTGATGCATCGTGGACATTTTATCTGATGGCAGTCCTCACAGTACAGCAGTTGTTCCGGAGGATACAGAGAGAAGTTGGAACGCGGAGCTCGGGGGTCGAATGTCTGCTCCTCCTCCTCTTCCTCCTCTTCAGTATCCGCAGCTGTTGGAGGGTCTCCCTGTTCTGCTTTTTTGGTGGGAGACTCTCGCGATCTTCGTTTTCGGGAACGATCAGGAACAGGGGTATCGGCACATGGACACGAGATATAGGTATAGGGGAAAGGACGCGACATGATGAAGGCGGGTTGCTTTCTCGGCGTGTTTAATGATGGTATTAGGTTGACCGCGAGCCGAATGTTGTCTTAAACGGAGTAATTGGTCATAATCCCAGGAGCGCCTTAGTACGATATAAAGCCTACTCCTGTGATGATTAGCTATCAATGTCGGTTGATGATACCTATTGTACAGCGGGGATAATCTCACAATTAAAGAGCATCGCTCCAGATGCGTATGGATTTTTCAATAGGTCATGCCAGCGAGACAATCTCCACCATCGGCGTTGTTCCAGGCAAAAGACCAGGCGCGTGGGCGATAGAGGTGTTTTTGTTCGCAACGCGGGATTGCGGAGTTCTGCTGAACAGAAAATACAACCGACGTCACCTGCGGACAGCTTAACGACTGTTCGATATCATCAACATTCCAGCTCCCTCAATTGCGTCTCAAACCGAATTCGTATCAGATATCGGAATGCTATAGACTTACTATCTGACAATCAATTCATACACTCGCAGATCACCATGTCACTCCGCCATATATTCCGTCGAGCGGTCCGATCACAGCCATCGTACACTGCAACGAGGAGCTACGCCAGCCAGACCCCCGGCAGTCCAGTCTTTGATGTGTTCAACCGAAAAGTCAAGCATCTTCAGAGGGATCGCGCAGCTCGGAATGTGGAGGAGAGCAGAAAAACAGACTACATCAAGGACGAGGTGGCTACGCGGTTGTGTGAACGGCTACTGGCAAGCTCTTCTGTTCTAGTCCTTGAATGATATGCATAGCTAACCTTCGGTCCTGCAGGATATTAAACGAGATTTCCCCCATGTTCTGGACCTAGGCGCCAACAGCTGCAACATCGCTCGCGCCCTGACAACACCAAACCCCGACCCCAGCACCGAGACATCGCCGCCTCTAGCGGAGAAGATCTCCAAACTCACCTGCATTGACACGTCCCACGCCCTCCTCTACCGGGACGCAGACGAGCCCTTCAACAAGGGGATAAATCTCGAGCGGCACGTCGTCCCAGACCTCGAGACCCTGCCCTACGAACCCAACACCTTTGACGCCGTCCTGTCCTCCCTTTCCATCCACTGGATCAACGACCTTCCCTCTCTGCTGGCACAGGTGAACAGCATCCTCAAGCCAGACTGCCCCTTCATCGCGGCCATGTTCGGCGGCGACACGCTATTCGAGCTCCGCACGTCGCTGCAGCTGGCGGACCTCGAGCGGCGTGGTGGCGTCAGCCCGCATGTGTCCCCTCTGGCGGACGTCCGGGATGTCGGCGGGCTGCTGAACAAGGCCGGATTTAAGATGCTGACAGTGGACGTCGAGGATATCGTGGTCGAGTTCCCGGACACGTTTGCGCTCATGCAGGACCTTCAGGCGATGGGGGAGAATAACGCCATTTTGCATCGGGAGCTGGGGCCTATCTCGCGCGATGTGCTCTTGGCCAACGAGGCGATCTACCGCGAGCTGCATAAGGAGGAAGGGTCGAGGGGTATCCCCGCCACATTCCGGCTGATATACATGATCGGGTGGAAAGAAGGAGAAGGCCAGGCGCAACCATTGCAGAGGGGCAGCGGGCAGGTTAATCTGAAAGACATCCTTGGGGGCGGGTCCTTCGATCGGCCATAATTATAATGGCTCTTCAGTGAACGGTCTTGAATGAAAAAGAAAAAAACAATATGTATAATAGAAGCTGCGCAATCTAACAAGGATATCCATCCGCAACGCACGAGGAACCACAGCTCGACCTCTAAGAAGAGTAGAAAAGAAACTTCTCAGTCCATCCCTGACGCCTTAAACCGTCCTCCGATCCGTCATAACCCGGACAATCGACCCGGTACCCGTAAGCTCGACCAACCTCTCATGCCAGCTCAGCAACACACTCATCTGCTGCGCACTCCCGCCCTCACCCAGATTCCGGGCCTGAATCTGCGAGAATCCCGTGTTCTGCGGAGACACCGACTTCCGAGGCGACTGCGCCCCGCCACCAGGAGCCGTAGCAGCCATGCCCTTGTACCTAGTCACCGTTAGCAACAGCACTCCCCTCCCCAGATGTATCGTCCGCAAGGGCAAGGGCAACCTACAAATACTTCATCAAGCAGTCTGCCCTCTCCGATCCGCCCTCCCCGCTACATACCCCCTCCAGCACGCGGGTCATCTCCCCCTGGCGGATCCCCTGCAGCACATCGACAACGGCAGCCATGTGCACCTCCTTGGCGCGATCGTCTCCTCCCAGCGGGGCTGTGTCGAGAACGTACCGCAAGGCGCCCTCGGGGTCGCCGCCGCGGAGCAGCTGGCGGACTTGGCTGGCGACGTTGGCGGCGTCGGAGGATGTCTGCGGGGGCGGGAGGGTAGCGGGAAGGA